TATATATATATATATATATATATATAAGGACAAACTGCATGCATGTGCTAGTACGTATGTAAGTCTTTGTGCATTATGTGGGTATCAAGCACATACCACCGTTGGCGTGAACGGTTGATATATACCCCACTAGACCGTGGCGTATGCGGGGTGGACGGTATCGGCTGTGAGACAGTTCGCAGCACGTTTCTGCCTTCCCCGACCTCTCAGCCAACATAAACGGGGATGTGCATGCAGTTGTTTGGGAGGTGGAGATTCGCTCGTGTATGCGGGGAATTCGCCTTACCTAAAATCGAGTAGGGACTGAATTCGTTGGCGCGTCTATTGAAAAAGAATTATTTAAGGCGAAATAGCGGACTCCAGTAAATTACCTGCGATGGTTTTGTGTTTTGTGGGCCAGGCGGGCATAGTTGCACCAATAGTTGGGACATACGAATTTGAGACTGCAGGCGCTCATACACAATCTGCGGGCTTGCGACCTTGAAGTGGGTTCGTCCCTTCTAGAGGGTGCATGCTCCACTGCCTCCCGACTCATGCTTCCGGTGAAGTATGCAGAGGGGTGATTCCCGAACTCAAGCGGACAATTGGTCCTTTACTCCAGTAGTACGTGCAGGGCAGATACGCATGCAGCCATAGCCAAACCATATTGTAAAATGCTCCTACACAAGAGGACTCTTGCCATGGAGATGACCGGTGGCTGCACGCGACTAGATTGCCGTTTGCTACATCGTTTCAAGCTAGGTCCACAAAGTCGTAGGGCACATATCCTAGTGCTTGGATTTTGGTGTACTGGTTGGACACAACTGGCTTGGCACACACGCTTGCGACGGAAATCTATGGTGAGAAACGACTGTAGCAGCACACCGCATAACACTTACGATCAATAAGCTACATAATTAAGTCTACCGGCACTTCATAAATGCACCGAATATTTGCCAGTGGGTACACAGTTCCGGTATAGCGGGGTTGATGTGTGTGAATGGCGTATGCTGCAACATTAAGCCCTAAACCTTGACCGGAGGGAGTATCAGGAAATATTTTCTTCAGAACTCCACCGTCAAAGGTCTAATTGACTCACTCCGTTCTACCAGGATGTGCTTCGCAGTGCGCAGCAAGCAGTGCGCCTATGGTTTGTGTTACCGTGCCTGTCTTTCCACCCAGGATCTAGCTATATTCCATCATTCGAAAATATCCCGAAAAAGGCACGAAAATCCCGAAGTGATGAAAGATACCGTTAGTGGAAATGCTAACATTTCCTAGGCGTTTTCTCCCATAGGGATGGCGGCGGGCGCAGCCCCCAGCCGATGGGTGAGCAGATCATGCGGACAGCTCAGTTTACCTGCAGGGTTCTCTTACGATATTATGTTCTGTTGCGAATTAACCTTGGAGTTTAAGTGACTATGGAGCACGGGGTTGTCCTGCTCTACCCGCTAGAGAAGTTACCCGGCAGCTGAACGGCAGCAGCCTCTCAGCTTCATGCGCCCAGGAATGATGGCCGCATGCCGGTTTCTTCATTTCTTCTATTTCCTATTACATATTTAAGGATTTTCCACAGTTGTCTGACGGAGTATCCTCTTCAGGGTCTGTTGTTAGTCCGGCTGTTCTATCGGTGCATCGCTGAAGGCTCATTGCGTGAAGAGCAGGGGTCAGGTGTAACGCACTGCTCGACCCTCCATCCCACCTCATTGAGCTGATATAGAAAGGGCGTAGAACAAGGAGTGTTCCTTACGCTTTTGTAGATGGCTGCCAACAGCGGGGGAGAACCCTCATCGGGGCACGAGGAAGCAGAGAGAAACAGCTACGTAGACAATGGCGATATTGCCAGTCCTCACGAAGGCGACCGCAGCAGCATCAGCAGATACCAGGCAGAAGATGCAGAACTTCTGCAGGGCGACGCACGACGCGGATTCAGCAGCTGTGCCAGCGACCCCCAGCTGTGGCGTTCCGTCAACAGGCAGAAGCAGCAGCAGGAAGGCGATGGCAAGCAACAACTGCATCAGCAGCAGTCTGATTTCGAGGCAAAGTCACGTATTCGACGGCGAAGCAGCAGCTGCCTTTCCGCCCGACAGGAGGCAGCTACAGCAAGTGTTGTATTGAGGGAGGCTTGTTCGGGTGATGCTCCTCTAGTGCGAGACTTAATGAAGTCTCACCTGCGTTCTTTGATTCTTCCTGCTGTGTTTTATTGGCTTTGTAGGCATGCGCAGGATTTTGGAAGTTTCTTGATTATTTGCTGCTGTTTTGTGCCTCTTGACCGAATGCTCCTCAGTCTCTGTTGCTTTCTTTTGTTGCTTCTCGTTCGTGTCGTGCTCGAACTGGAGCAGTATGCCTCAAGGGGCTGCCCAGACCTCGCAGAATTCGACCGCCATTATCTGCAGGCGGAGCTAAACAGATTCTGGGTGGCAGAGGTGCGGTTCTAGAGTCGGGCTGAGGGTCAAAGACCACATCGTTTTGCATCCCTTGCTTTCTCGCCCAGTGTTGAAGTGTAATCTTCCTCTATTCATGCGTAGTACCATATCTGCCTCGCTTGTAGGTGGTTGCGCCGCTGCTATAGGAACTGCATCCTGCTGGTTCACAGGCTAGTGGAGAGTATGAAATGAATAGCGAGCAGATGCGTTGCTTTCTTGTCCTCTACCAAAGTTGCACCAGGGTTGGGTTGAAGTAGTTTTCTCTTCCCGATTTGGATGACATGGAAATTTTGCACAGACGTTTTCACCTGTGCATCGACTTTCATGCCAAGGAGAGACGGGAAGACTGCTACGTTGATATCTGTAGTGGTAGTCCGAGAACCAGTTTCCAGCGTGCGAGGTGGTGTTTGCGGAAAGGCACGCCAGTGTATAGGATGCACGTGGCAGTATGGGTTTATTCCATTTTGTCTGTTTGCTCTCGCGCGCATGCATGGATTCAGTGGAATGCTTTTAAATTCACGAGTATATGCGTTCACATGCAGGCTTCGGGTACAAAAACGTGCCTCCGCATGTTTACGTACACGAAGCCTGCATGTGAATTTTGAGCAAGTAAATTGTGGGTTCCTGAGTGGTTTCTGCGTGTCTTCTGCCATCTGTTGCTGCAGAGGAAACAGCCGACCGGTAATCAAGTTGTCGGCTGCATCGGCTTTATCATTCACCCCTCCAATCCTCAAGAGGGGCAGCTGGTATGGCAGTTTCACAAAACATCAGGGGATACAATACACATTCTGGATAAGTGGTAGACGTGAATACAGCGGTAGTGAAGAAGTAGGCAAGTAGGACTCCATAAGGGCAAATTTGAGGAGAGAAGAACCCCGGGATAGACTGGCAGAGAAGGGGGGGAATTTGACACAAAGCGTTCTGCAATTACGAGGAAGGGGAAATATACACAGTTATGTAGTTAGAGGCGGGTTAGTGCAAAGGCGTCGGACAGCAGAAACTGCTCTAATTTTCCCATATGGTCTTTTAGCTTGTAGACCAGTGCCACATTAACTTGCGAATGTTTATTGCAGTGGAAAATTCCAAGCTGCCGTCTTGTAAGTTGTAGCGAACGCCGGGGAGCAATGGCTTTCCGCACAGTGGAGTGAGGAAAGTGTGCTTAGATATTCATGCTTTGCGTCTTTCTCAGTGCGTCTATCTGTCTTCTTTCAAGCAACAGCGCAATCCTTGAGCTCATTATGTTTTGTGCAGGTCCGGCTTGTGGTGTCTCCCGGGTCGCGTGGTGCTGGTGTTGGCTCACGACTGTTATCCTGCGCTTTGGGTTTTGCCGCGAGCTGTCGATGCAGTTCTATTGAAGTTTTTGCAAACTCGCTCAATGCCAGCAGTGCAAGCTTTTTCAGAAATAGACAGTTTGAGCTTGTTCAAGTCGTTAGAAGGAAGCTCATGAGAGGTAGGCATCGAATTCTATGGTTGTTTGCTTAACACATGCTGGTACATCTTCCTGGCTGGATCTTAGTGTGATGGCTTGTCATTCATTGTGCGTTCTCCTGCGTATGTCGAGCTCGTTCGATCATCTGTCCATGTGTGCTGTCTAGTTCTTAATGTTCCGTTTTGTGAGCCAATACGGAACAACCTCGCTTTGCGTCGTGTATGGCGCATTGGTTAACTGTGTGCTCTATCCCATGCTTTTTGTCTTGGATTTCAGCAGCAGCGTGATATAGCGGATTTGGCGGGCGTAGCACATCAATAGGCCCCAGTGTGTACCACCTTCTGTACAAAGATGCCCAGCTACACATGTTTTTTATATTGTGAAGCTGTGCATTTTTAGTTGCAGTGGGTTACCTTTTAAGGAAGGCTGTACTTCAGGTTTTGTTTTGCAATTGTCAGGTGATCTGCTGAGGTGGAGGATGGCCCTCGACGTTCAAGGCCGGCCAGTAGAGCCAAAGACAGACCCAGCTTCCACTGTCAGTGGTCTACATTCTGAATAGCCTCGTTCCGCCGCGTGCCAATGCTTACAGTTCCTGTGCCGGTCAGCGTTCCTCCGCGTTCCTCAGGTTAAGCGTGAAGTCCGCGCACAACCACAGAAGGCAGAGCAGCGTAGCTCGCCAACAACCATAACGGATAGCAGCCTCTAGCTTGTCGGTGCTCCTTGGGAGGTGGCGTTCCAAGTGATGCTGCTGCTGCAGCAGCAACAGGAGCTGCTGCTGCTGTGGTTGCTAAATCTACTGTTGCATATCGAGAGCCTGGGATTCATGAGGTCTTCTAGAGCATGGAGAAGGCATTTATAAGCCTTGTGAGGGGGTGGGTCGTGACGCTGCGGCTTCTTCGGCATCTTCGCTTACCCCGCCCGAAATTGGCTGCGCGTGGACAGCTGGTCACCGAGAAGACCCCACAAGACCAGAAGGCCCGGATAGAGATGACCGAAGGTTTAAGTGGCAGGTGCTTTCCGTGTGATGTATAAACAACGAGCTGCAAACGTGTTGATTCATTTATGCAATTTGTACACAACGGAGATCAGCGGCTCCGCGAAGGCCGTAGCACCGTGAGAAGAGCATATGGTAAAATCAGCATGGACTTACTACATACGGATGCGCAACAGAGGGCAAGCGGCGGCACGCCCTGTGGGCATGTGGTATACGTTTGTGGATAGTCGCCTATACGAGTGCGTTCATTTGCTGATTGCGGACGTGTGATCATCAACGCAGATTTGAGCACATCACGTTCAGCATATTCACGCATTAGGATATGTATGAGGGCACGTACAGTTGCCGCTACGTCCGTGCTTCAGCATGTATCCTGATAGTCGTATTCTCGGGCACAAGTACATTGCCGTCGTGCAATAGTTGTTAGCTGCTCGCGCTTTTTTGGTGCAACAGCAGTGAAACCAGTATCAGGCACTCTCAGCCTTGCAGTCGGCGGAAGCGAATTTGCGCAATTTGGCGCTCGGTCTATCAGCAGATTGTGCAGATGCATATTTTTTTAGAGTTCACAAGGATAATCCACGAACTCAAGTGGGTCGACAGGATGCACCTCTATGGAAGAAGCGGGAAGAGCAACCCAATATGTAGGTGGTTTATGAAATACCACACCTTTCAGGCAATAATTCGTCCTTGGAGTCAGTTTAGCCCTTGCCCTTGAGCAGAGGCTTTTCTGCCATCGTGGCATACATATAGGCAATTCACCACAGGAACTTGCAGAAAATTCGGGTGTAACTGCAACCAGCATGAGATGCCGACCTGGGAGAAAGTAATTTGAGAGGCGCCGCCAGCGAAAATCAATAGGGCCTTCGGGTGACTCTCTGGAACCCAGCAATGTGAGGCACAGGTGTTCAGCAAAGTGAGAGGCCAGCCGGCAGTTTCGCGTCGGGCCAACTCTGTGCTCATTCGAGCCCTCGCCAGTGGTCAAAAGTTGCTAGCACTACTGGACATACGCTGCGAAGCGTAGTGGATCTGGTGTGTGAAGCTGCGGTGAGGAGGTGCAACCTGCTTGTTTATATCTTTGCAAATCCCGCTAACTATGGTCTGCCGAAGGCAGGAACAACGTAAGGATCCGGGGAAAACTATTGTCGGAGAGTAATCTGGCCGGTTCTGGCAACCTCGTCTAATGTGGGGACGTGAAGCCCTACTCAGCCCTAGTGGGCAATTGATATGCAGTAGTTTTTGACAATTCTCTACAGTGTTCATGCATACAGTCATGAAGGCTTGTTTGTGGTTGCGTGGGGGGCTGTCTTCACCTTGAATTGAAGCAAGGTGCGTTGCTCAGGGCATGCCGCCTCCTTTCGTGCAGCTCCAGATGCTTGAGTCACTGCTCTCAGTGAGCCTGCAGACAGGGGATGGAGGTCAGCTGTTTTTACGGGACTCTTAAGAATTCCAGTTCCATTGCAGCTCACAGCAACCTTGGATAACCTCTAGAGTCATCATTGCAATGAGAGTTGAATGCGGGCTCAGTTGGGCGTCACTAGCGTATGGAACTTCTGAGTGGTACCAATTCGAGATGACACAGTCCTTTGCAGACAGTGAGAGGCACAGTGGCAGGTGCTACCGCGCCCTCCATAAGGGACTGCTGGGCTGTACGCAAGTGTACGCAATCTAAAGTAGGAGGAATTAATAGTGCGTGATTCTTTTTGCTTGGCGAAAAAGGCGACGTACTCCCAGAACACAGCGACCGACACTAGCTGACGGGCTAACATCACATTTGCATATCAATTTGCCGACTAGCACCACAATTTGGTCTTTAAGATGCTGTGGTTGCGTGCACCTTGGCACACATATTCGCCCTACTACGGAAGTGAGGCCGAGGCAAAAGCTTGTTCATTTTTTGGGGGAGGGCTCGCATCCAGCCCATCATTAACGAAAAACTAACTTTGAATGCGCCCCCTTCCTTCGTCACCAGGCATCAGCTGTTCAGTGTCTCACAGAAGCCTCCTTACGAGCATCCCGACTGATTGTCTTCATGTCTCCACCTTTACCGGAGGGCCTTCTGCGCTGTGTTGGAATGCCGGAAAAGAGGGGCACAAGTAGGGGGAGCGTCGAACCCACTGGAGATAAGCGAAAATTTCTGGTGTTCCGAACTGACAAGCTACGTTTCTAATTGCGCGTCTAGTAATCTGTTCGTCACTTTAGGTGTCCCCTATGCAGTCAACGCAGTCCTGTAGTCGGTAGGATCCACATATTCCAGTGGATCCTACAGACTACAGGACTGCGTTCCATGCTGTGGCGTCTAGTCTCGTGTCTGCACGTGACGAGTTGTAAACTCGAGCTACTCATGAATTCCGTTGCCTTTGTTCATCATGGTTGGCAGGCTATGGAGCCTTCCAACCTCGTGGATAACGAGCAGGTATCCAGCTAAGTTGTGGAATCTACCTGTGGTGTACGCAGATATTACACAGTGGTAGAAGTGAACTGCAAAATTCACAGGGTGAGGGTTGTAGTAGGAGCGGAATTTGATCCGACGAAGATAGAGAGCATTCAGATATGCAAGTTTGCTGTAGTTGACTCCACGCTCCTGCATCATTACTCTCCCTTCAAATGAGATGTATATGCTTGCAAATCCGTCCGAGGAAAGTCGACACGGGAGAATCCCGGAATGAAGTTGTGGCACTCGGATACACACACCGACTTGTGCACACAAGTAAAAGCCACCCCAATTGGCCTCTATCTCTGCCGAATATGGTTCGACCACAGCTACCGCCAGACGAAGCCCTATGAAACTAATGACACTCATAGAAACCGAGCATATTGTGCTTTCGAGGACCATTGCTCCTCCCACACTGGTTGCAGAGCGCGTTGCAGATGCTGTGGTTGCTCCTGTGCGTTCCAGCTGAACACAGTTGCGTCATTCATGTGCACACCCATCCATCCTTCGTTAAATGGGTCGACAGAATCGTAATTGAGCTGTTGCTGTATTTCGGCAGGTGCACTTTGGGGCCCAGAAAATATACACACGTACTCCAACCTGCGTACGTGGTTATGGAACGCAGTATCGTGCTTGTCATTGGGGTAAATTTGGGTCTTGATGAACGCACGAGCAACGCCATATGGTAAATATATATAGTGGGGACCTGGAGACACCAACAGGTAGAGCAAATCGTCGACCCCGTGCATTAGAAACTTAGTTTTCGCCATCGTCTTGATGAGGAGCTTGAAGTCGTGAATTCGACGCACATCCGTCGTATGCCGTTCACTTACTTCGCCAACACTGGATTCTCTCCCAACGCACTGCTTGACGGTGGAACGTTGTCGTTTTTAAGCTGTTTATATTCTTTCCGTTCGATTTCCTATCGAAGTTGTGGGCTTAGCCGACCACTTAGAACAAAGCTTGGGGCCTCACCAGGGATGCTTTCAATGTCGTCCCCTGTGCGCTCAGCTGGTGGCAGGCCGGCATGCAGCTCACAGCTACTTAATCGTCTGTAAACGCGTCCCTCAGTTGTATCCATTTCTGCCTCCACTTAGGTCGAAATTGGATCGAATTCCACAAACCCTGGGTTGTCGAAAGACCCTAACGATGGCGTGCATACATGTTGTTTTGCGCAGCGCCTCTACTCTGCGAAGAGTAGAGGCTTCTTTGGTTGTTTCACCGTGGGACACTGCTTCCATTCCTCAAGTCTTAGAGGGTGAAGACACTGTTGGTATCACTGAGAGGTGTATACTCTCCCTGCTTCCCTCCGCAAACACCCCAATCATTTCGCCTGGCGGGCGCTGTGTGTCTTTCGCTGCGTCGCCCATGGCATGCCTATGAGTTTATCGTGGTGTGAACCGCCCTAACGTAAAATACCGTAGCATGCTAATATGATCACCTTGTGAATTAAGCCCGCATTGTCCGCTGGTAGACTTGCCAATTCGCTCTTCCTATCTACCTAGCAGATACTGTGCCAATGTATGAACGGGGAGTGTATTTTCTCGCCGTATCATTAGGTATAAGGTCCACCTAGCAACATGTGTCAAGTGTATCAAGCAACTGCTGTCCATTACTTGGGTAGTTACAAAATTCACTCGATGAAGATATGCTTGTGTGGCTTTAACCACTTTCGGCCTCATAACTGCTTCGTACGCTTAGTGGGGACCCCGACTCTTCCCGATTTGCTTTGTTTATTCATCTGAACGCACTTACCAAAGTGTTATTTCTCCAACTCCTCTTCCATACTTCTGCTATCTCGGCTTGTGTGGTTTTTTTTGTTATGTTGTGTGTGTGGTTTTTTTTGTTGCTTACTAATAAATGCCGGATTGACTGGAACATTGCGTCATGCACTATGCGGAGATTCAAGGCATATTTTTGACTGGATTCCTATCAAAGACTGCATATGCCTCTTCCAACGAAAGGTCAGAAAAGAAGGAGCATCAGTGACATGTGGCATTCGCCGGCTACCTCCCGATACAGTCAGCATAGCGACAGCAAAATTGTGGAGCACCGGCAGATGCCATCTCGTGGTTTCATAATTGAGGTTGCATTACTAATTCTTCGTCAGGCCTCCTATGAGCTTTATCGCACATCGCCGTGTCCTCGGTTTCGATCCCTTACTAGGCAACTAGACACACGAGGGCCTATGGCACTGGCGAGCGGAAGGAAGGATGGTATAGTCTTCCCTAAAATGGTGCATGCACTTTTGTTCGGCAGGATGCTGGCTACTGAAGGCCACATGCATGTATTATAACTTTGTAGGGAGACCGCATGTGATATATGCGCTTAGTTGCGCATGTGTCTGAGGCTGCCTTGCAGCGGGGGTTGCAGCAAGGCGGCAACAGACCTTAAGCCACCGCCTTGCTTACCAACCCCAGACCCTTGTGGCTTCCTGATCAGATTTCCTGAAGACTGGAGGTTAACTAAGTTACCTTTGAATGCTCTTAAGAATCTAGACTCTACTGCAGCTCCCGACGGTCGTTCGGTTGTTGAGCAGCACTGTAACGCACCCAGGGGCACCGTGCGGCTACGCTTCTTCGTATACAAGGGGATTTTTGTGGTAAGCATTTAATTCCCCATCACCTATTTATTGTTCCTCGATAGTGCAAAATTAGGGAGCAAAATCGCTTAAAAGCTGCTGCCAGCAGTTTTGACACTGTAAAGTGCTTGTATGCAAGGAAACGGTAAACACCACTAGTTTTCTCTTCATAACTTCTGCTTTGGAAACACTATATTTGCACATAGAGCAGGATCTAACAAGAAATGAAGTGTGGCAAGTGTGCAAGCTGAAACACATGACAGGACCCCGGATTACGCATGTTGGGGGTTCAAGTCGCATGGATGTCGCATGTGCAGAGCCACCGGTAGCTGATGAGAAATGATACCACAGTTCCGTACCTGTATTTAGGGCAGATTCGCATTACCACTCCTGAACTTGTTACTAACCCCTTGTTTAGGTGTAAACTACTGCAGCGCTGAACAACGAGGGCACCACACCAGCCGTGCCCGTTGGCCGCTCGCCGGTATTCCGTGACCAGCACCGTGTGCGTGGCTTTTTGTTTGCTAATTACTTCTTCTACTGCTTTAATGAAGTAATAAAAGCGTTCGCCTCTGATTTAGCAACAACGAGAAGGATATTCAGGCCTTGAGGGATGATTCGTACGTACTGCAGCTGTAGAGGGATTCCTGTATCGCTGACCGCCCAGCTGCAGCCTTTCCCTCCATCTGTCATCCTTGATTGCCCCGTGGTCATCATCTCATTGGTTTGTTTCTTAATTTAGAATTGGAAGACGAAGGTCAAAAGTTAGAAGGGCGGGACGGACTGGGGCAACCAGTTTTCATGCGGTGACAGACGCTCCCGGTTCACTTTGTGGGGGTTTTCTTCCCTTTTTGTCCACGTTCGCATTTTGCTAGCTAGGTGGGCCACCTGAATTACCCTGCATCTTTTCTCACACCCCAGTTCTTGCTTCTCCTTACTGCTCGTGCCGCCCGTGTGTGTACTCCTGCCCACGGCCGTAATTTATTGCACGCGCGTTGCGCTGAAATTGATTGGCACCCTCTTTCAACACATCTTGGACCTTTTCCCCCTCTGTTCTTTCCTTCCGTCTCTCTCTCTCTCACACACACACACAGACAGACAGACACACACACACACACACACAATGCATACCTACATACACGGACATCGCCTTCAGTGTTCCGCACGATCTACCGGTCTTCAACCGCCCTCACGCATAGTGATCATTCACCTGCTTTCCTTTCAGTTGGCTAGCTTCATCGCAGCTAGTTTCTGCCGCGTGCAAATTTCTGCAGCTCGCAGATTTACGCAGCACGGGAATTTCCAAGTGCTGCTTCTGTGTCGGTAGCCTGCTCGTTCGCTGTGCCTGAATGCAGTGGCCAATGGGTTTCCTTACATTGTCGCCCATAGTCGTGGTGTTCTTCCTCCTCTTCCCCCGTTTTTTGCGATGGGCTTTAGACCCTGGTGTCTTTGTATTCACATTCTGCGTGTGCTCAGGTGTCATTGGGGTGACGACTTAGGGCTTACTGCGCAGGGTGCACGGTTTGGAGTCCGAAGTTTGGGGCTTATGACAGAGCCTCCTTTTCCTTGCCCATATTTGTATTTTACACTTGTGATATCGCCGAATAGGCTCCTGAGGAGCACCCACGAGGTTGAATAATGCATGCAGAGTAAAGCAAAGGGGTGCGAATACAGCGGCAGTAATATATCTCAGCAGAAAGGGAGTAGACAACTCAGTTAAGACTAACCGGCCGGAGTAGGACGGAGCGGTCGCAATTTCTCTAGCTGAAAAAAAAACATTTGGGGGGACAAATCACAACAGTGAGGACCTAGAATGGAGAAGCTCCCCACTATCATTCTGCCGGAGGGAGATGCCGTTTCACCTAGTCCGAGAGCAGGTCAGCGTTTTCTGCTTCCTTACTCGTCGCTATCCTTAGTTGGACTTTTGTTATTTTTGTTGATGCGATGGGCACTTCATTAAGGCAGTACTAACAGTGGGACGGGAAAGTTGCATCGACGAATTGGACTAGGCTACTAAGGCAAATAATGTATAGTGTGCAGACTATTGAGGCTTTCTAATGCTCTAGCGTTTATAGCACAGTACACTATACATGTATAGAACCACACAAAAACTGTAGGCTGTGATAATGGCCTCAGCCAATATTTTGGTTCCCGACTTCCCCCTCTTCCTCTCGATTTGTTCATAGTTGTAATTCTGCACTTTGCTTCTGCGGAAGAGAAGGCTTCTTTGAGCCTTGAAGGCTCGAGACCGATGAACTTGAACATCTATCCTTACGTTGGCGAGGATCAGTTGTGCAGACCTGTTTGTACATGCTTCTGTGTCCGTATTTCTTTACAGTTTATTTGTTACCAGTCGTCATTCATGTGCTTTGAGCTAGCTGTTGCCATGCGTTCTGCGTTGTCTGTCTCAGTAGGCTCGCTGGGTTCTTTAGAGAAGGTACACACGAGCAGTAAAAGCTCGTTACTGCGTCTGGGTGGCATCCGGTTCCGTTGTGCGCGTCCACAGCAGCTGGTGGACGAGTTCTACGTGAAGCGGATGGGGATGCAGGAGCTTGTGCTTAGTTCTGCAGTGGGATCGAAATTAGGTGGCTGTGAATGTTTAGAGTTTTGCCTTGCTCTTCCGCCGCGGCAACAGCTGCACCAGCTGCTGTTGCAGCTTTCATTGCGTTCACAGCACCGCCGCAGCAGCCCCTCAAGCAGCCGCACCGACCTCGGGGCCATCACTGTGGGGGAAGAAGGGGCAGCACACAACAGAGCAGCTCTGTTAGGGCAGGAAGCCGTACACCCCAGTGGAGCCACCAGCAGGCGCAGCAGCTTTTGCAGCCAGAGTTCGTCCCGGAATAGTAACCTGTCATCTGCCGTGCCTTCCTCCCCTCATCGATTCGCTGCTTTCGAGTTCTTTTCCCCTACGGAAGTTGAAGGTGTTGTAGCGGAGGCAACTGAAGCTGCGGCTAATTCAACAACAGTGAACGGTACGTTTACTTCGTGCATCGTCATGCCCAGATATATTTTTACTTATGTAGGTAGTTTGCATGTACACGCCCTTACTCATTCTGCTCGTGTACGTTACAGTGCGTGGTTCGACCTATGTGTGGATGCCTGTGCAAATGCACGTTTATATGTATGCAGCAATATAAACACAAGAATGTGTGAATGCAGCCTGAATGGTACAAAAGCATGTCTGTAGGTGTGTAGGCAGAAACTGCTGCCCCCGACATTGCAGAATGGGAGAAGGATAACTGTGCAGGGCATATTGTAATTTCAACAAGCAAATTGTCTTTTTTGATGTGCAGCAAAGCCCAAGAGCTGGTTAAGGCATGCTGGGGGTCAGTTTGTATTGGAATTCGTCCCAGTGCAGACGGCTGGTGGCAAATATAAAGCCTATGAACACCGCGACTCCGACGTCTTCAGTCATCTATCATTCGCAGTTTGTGTGAGTCTACCACTAGTTGCCTCTTACTGCTCTAGATGTAGCCTGTTTGGCTTGTATAGTATGGAAAGATACAGCTAAGGGTAGCTTAGTCGAATGAATGCGGTACAGCACAGTATGCGCTTGTGCTCTGTTGAGTAATTCGACTTACTATGCATCAGTGTGTGAAGTAGATTGTTGTGCTGGAATACAATATTACCGTTTTGCCTCACGTCCTGCGTAGTAATGGTCTGACCTCTACCACATGTACACAGGGGCGCGGTAGCTTGACTTTACATCCGCAGACCGGTTGACAGGCAGACCCGCTGATTGAAGCTACAAAGTAATTGCACTTGCGCACTCTTAGTTCTAGCGAGCAGTCGCAAGGCGGGCAGTTTTATCTGCTCGCCTTCTCTGGAGGTGAGCTGTGGTACGGTCTTTTTTCGTGTGGCGCTCCATATGCCTGGTTAGGGAGGGCGTCTGCAAACGGTTGGAGCAGTTCCCGGTGTTTTCTGTTTCAGAGGTAGAGCATGAGAACCCAACAGCATGTATAGATAAACACCTAGACACAAATGTACACTTACGTGAACGCATCTGTATGCGCATATGCACTGGATAAGCGATACTCGATATGCCAAATGCTTAGTTACACAGTTATTTACACGAGACAGGAAGTACAACAGACGTTTGCACCTTGGCAACAGTTTGCATGCTGCCATGCGTAAGAGGTGCGAAATGGCCTACGCACCACGGTATGCGCGCAACTAGAAATGTTTGCCGGAATGCAAGCATGCCATGGTATATTGTTATATTCAGAATATATGAAATCAAGTAAGCAACGAGATGGTACTATGCGTACGATATGTAAATGTGTGTGCTTAGTATCTGTAGCTGTTTATCTACCATATATATTAGTTTTCTACTGCGGGCTCTGCGTATTAATGGTGTTGGCGCTTACGTAGATACACTACTCATGCATGATGCGTGCTATTCACGATTGGTGTCTACTTAGGATGTTGATACGATGGCGGTGGATTTGTCGCAACACATGGTTCGCGTTGATCCCGCTGGGCAGTTTCTGGATATGGCCTACGCCGCAGGCTTCACAGACCCGCAGAACTTCAGGGGTCGCCTTTTACAATATATGAGGTAACTTCCACACGGTTCCATGCTGAACAATACATAGTGTAGTATTTGTCGGAAGGCGAAACAGTCCGTTAGTGGTGTGGTTGGTGCAATATATCCATGGGGTTGGTAGCTACGGCAGTTCTACGCCTACGGATGCAAGTACGAGCACAGTAGTTCCTATGCGCGTATGGACTACTGTTTACCATCATGCATCAGACCACTGATGTGAACGGCTGAGGCTGCATTGTTTCTTGGTTAGCCTACACTTTCAAGGTAAGTTGTGCCGAGTTATTATTGTTTTGTACTGTACCTCAGTTCTCATGACTACACTTAAGAGGGGTATGCAAAATGACTGTTCGCGTCTCGCGAGTCGGGAGTGGGGTATTTAGTGTACAACGAATTCCATAATGTGTTTGTGTAATGCGGTTCGGAAATGCTTATTCTCCACATGTTAGTGTGCACTGAATGTTGCAGTGCAGTGTGTGTATTGCGGGTCGTTGGCAGCCCTTCATAACTCGTCCACGAGCATGCTTTTGGTGCATTTATAGGGCCCATTGGAATTATATTGTTTCTATTTTGATTGTACTGGCTTTTTTTGCTTAATCTTGGTTGTTCAGCTCTACATTTGCAGACTCGTGTGCTTGGTTTTCAGTGAGTATAAGATGGCGTCGCTGAAAGCTCACTTGAGTGATGAGTCGCGGGCTGCTTCGTCGTGTTCGTTTGACCATTTGCGTCAGTCGCCTCCGAGAGGTAGTGACGACTATGGCGAGCACAAGCGGCCAACTGGGGGGTCTGTGGAGTTTTGTGGAGGGATTCGAGGTGACGTGGGGAGCGGGCGGCGGCGGTCTCCCTCTCCGTCGCCTCCGAGCAGCTTCTGCTCGCTGTCTGTGCCGGGTTCCGGTGCCGCTTCCTTTTTTTCTAGCGATCGCGATGGTGAGGTGCTGCATGTAAAGAGGGAGAAGGAGTCGCTTCAAGTGAACACATGAAAGCTCCTGTACTTGTTGCAACAGGGCTTTAGACACATGGTACTTTCGATGCCAGGAAAGGAGACGCAAAGGTAGATGTAGAGGCTGAAGGTAGACCGTGAGAGAGAGCCTTCACCGTTTAACGTAACAGTGACTAGTTGGCACCAACACGTTGCACCACTTGAAGTCGGGTTATCGGGCCCTCCATTTGTTGCAGGCTGCCTTCCTGCCCCCACTCCAGAAGAGGTGCAAGCTGTAGAGCTAAGTCACAGCTCGTCATCGCTGCGCTTCGACACGTTGCCCTTGCTACGTCTACCTGTTCTCCACCACCTCGAAATCGCTGCTACGAACCTGGAGGAGACCCTCAAATTCTACGAAGATGTAACCAAAGCAGCCTCATTTTGACTCGTGTTATCTGCGCGTACCTGCTGCCGCCTTTGTTTGCTACTTTGCCTTGAGCCTCAATCATTCATTTCGACAGAGTGCTTTCACATAGGCTCGATGAAGCGGTCCTCGTGTTCTTTCGTTCACTGTAGTCTTCTGCCTGTCTCCTGGAATGCTTTTCGGAGGCCCACAGGTGTCGTCTTAACCAGCGGGCATCTGTCTTAAAGACCTAGGGTGTGGTGTACTGCTGTCCGTATAGGTGTTGGGCATGACGCTGATAGATAAGAAGACCGCCGGGAGCTTCGGCTTCACTCTTTACTTTCTTGCGCTGGAGTCTCCGACAAGCACTTCGCTGCATTACTGGCTGTGGCTGCAGCGGTTTTCTTCCATCTGCATTAAAGTGAGGAGGGACAGGAACGTCTAGCTTTCCTTAAAATATTGTACATGAGGACATTCTGTTGATACGGAATACCTTTGTTTGCGCCGTATTATTAATTCCTCCGTTGCCGAATTATGATTTTTCCTTTGGTCACTACACCTCACGTCTGCATCACTTCCGTTTTTAATCGTAATTAATTGCTCTAGATTGTCGCTATTACTACTGAGTCTTTGTCTGTAATGCTGCTGCACTACCAACCGCATGCGGCCACACTCCGTACCGCCTTAATTTCACTTACAGGCCAGTGGATCAGGCAGCCTTTGACTATTCCAGCTGTCCCTTTCCGCTGTGCTGCTCAGTATGCGTTTTCCATTTGCGCTGGTGTTTATTTGTCAGGTACATGCAGATGGCAACCATGTGGCACCCTACAAAGACCTCGGGCCCTCTGAATGTGGATTTTTGGGTATTTCGTTTCTGTGCGCCGAAAGTAACGAAGAGAAGATCCTCAAGCGAATCAAGAGAAATTACGTCAAAGTCGAACTTGTAGACGATGAGGTTTATGGACAGAAAGTCTTGCTACTAAGAGACCCGCAAAACATTCCAATACGCATTGCTTTTACGAATTAACGCACCAAGGTGTATATTCATATATATATATATA